TCCATTAGAACAAGAGGCCAGTTGGTCTAGCCGGTCCATTGGACAGGCCAGTTGGTTCAGCCAGTCCATTGGACCAACGGGTTGGTTGGTCCGGCCGTTCCACTAGACCAACAGGCCGGTTGGTCCAGCCGGCCCATTGGACCAACAGTCCAAGTGGTCCAATTGGTCCATTGGACCAACAGTCCAGTTGGTCCAGCCGGTCCATTGGACCAACAGGCCAGGTGGTCCAACCGGTCCATTGAACCAAAAGGCCAGTTGGTCCAGCCGGTCCATTAGAACAAGAGGCCAGTTGGTCTAGCTGGTCCATTGGACCAACAGGTCGGTTGGTCCAGCCAGTCCAATGGACCAACCCGTCGGTTGGTCTAGCCAGTCCACTAGACCAACAGGCTGGTTGGTCCAGCCGGTCCATTTGACGAACAGTCCAAGTGGTCCGATCGGTCCATTGAACCAACAGGCCTATTGGTCCAGCCGGTCCTTTGGACCAATAGGCCAGTTGGTCCAGCCGGACCATTGGACCAACAGGCCAGTTGGTCCAGTCGGTCCATTGATCCAACAGGCAAGTTGGTCCATGGGACCAACACGCCAGTTGGTCCTGCCGGTCCATAGTACCAACAGGACAAGTGATCTAGCCGCTCCATTAGACCAACAAGTCAGGTGGTCCAGCCGGTAAGTTGGACCGACAGTTCAGGTAGCCAACCGGTCCATTGGACCAATAGGCCAGGTGGTCCAACCAGTCAATTGGACCAACAGGCCAGGTTTTCCAACCGGTCCATTGAACCAACAGGCCACTTGGTCCAACCGGTCCATTAGAACAAGAGGCCAGTTGGTCTAGCCGGTCCATTGGACCAACAGGCCTGTTGGTCCATCCAGTCCATTGGACCAACAGGTTTGTTGGTCCGGCCGGTCCATTAGACCAACAGGCCGGCTGGTCCAGCCGGCCCATTGAACCAACAGGCCAATTGGTCCAGCCGGTCCATTGGACCAACAGTCCACTTGGTCCAGCCAGCCCATTGGACCAACAGGCCAGTTGGTCCAGCCGGTCCATTGACCAATAGGCTTGGTGGTTCAACCGGTCCACTAGACCAACTATCCAAGTGGTCCAATCGGTCCATTAATCCAATAGGCCTGTTGGTCAAGCCGGTCCATTGGATCAACAAGCCACTTGGTCCAGCCGGTCCATTGGACCAATAGGCCAGGTGGTCTAGCCGCTCCATTGGACCTACAGGTTAGGTGGTTCAGCCGGTAAGTTGGACCGACAGTTCAGGTGGTCCAACCGGTCCATTGGACCAACAGGCCAGGTGGTCCAACCGGTCCATTGAACCAAAAGGCCAGTTGGTCCAGCCGGTCCATTAGAACAAGAGGCCAGTTGGTTTAGCTGGTCCATTGGACCAACAGGTCAGTTGGTCCAGCCAGTCCAATGGACCAACCCGTCGGTTGGTCCAGCCAGTCCACTAGACCAACAGGCTGGTTGGTCCAGCCGGTCCATTGGACGAACAGTCCAAGTGGTCCGATCGGTCCATTGAACCAACAGGCCTATTGGTCCAGCCGGTCCTTTGGACCAATAGGCCAGTTGGTCCATCCGGTCCATTGGACCAACAGGCCTGTTGGTCCAGCGGGTCCACAGGCCAGTTGGTCCAGCCGGTCCATTGTACCAACAGGCCAGTTGGTCCAGCCGGTTCATTGGACCAACAGGCCAGTCGGTCCAGCCGGTCCATTGGACCAACATTCCAGTTGGTCCAGCCGGTCCCTTGGACCAACAGGCCAGTTGGTCCAGCCGGTCCATTGGACCAACAGGTCAGGTGGTCCAGCCGGTCAATTGGACTGACAGTTCAGGTGGTCCAACCGGTCCATTGGACCATTAGGCCAGGTGGTCCAATGGGTCCATTGGACCAACAGGTCAGGTTGGTCCAGCTGGTCCATTGTACCAACAGGCCGGTTGGTCCAGCCGGTCCATTGTACCAACAGGCCGGTTGGTCTAGCCGGTCCATTGGACCAAACGTCCAGGTCGTCCAGCCGGTCCATTGGACCAACAGGCCAGTTGGTCCAGCCGGTCTAGTGGATCAATAGGCCAGTTGGTCCAGCCGATCCAGTGGACCAACACGCCGGTTGGTCCATCCGGTCAATTGCACCAACAGGCCGGTTGGTCAAGCAGGTCCACAGGCCGGTTGCTCCAGCCGTTCCATTCTACCAACAGGCCAGTTGGTCCAGCAGGTCCGTTGGACCAACAGGCCGGTTGGTCCAGCGGGTCCACAGGCCGGTTGGTCGAGCCGGTCCATTGTACCAATAGGCCAGTTGGTTAAGCCGGTCCATTGGACCAACAGGCCAGTTGGTCCAGCCAATCCATTAGACCAACTGGCCAGTTCGTCCAGCCGGTCCATTGGACCAAAAGGCCAGTTGGTCCGGCCGGTCCATTGGACCAACAGGTCAGGTGGTCCAGCCGGTCAATTAGAGTGACAGTTCAGGTGGTCCAACCGGTCCATTGGACCAATAGGCCAGGTGGTCCAACGGGTCCATTGGACCAACAGGTCAGGTTGGCCTAGCTGGTCCATTGTACCAACGGGCCGGTTGGTCGAGCCGGTCCATTGGACAAACTGGCCAGTTGGTCCTGCCGGTCCAGTGGATCAACAGGCCAATTGGTCCAGCCGGTCCAGTGGATCAACAGTCTAGTTGGTCCACCCAGTCCATTGGACCAATAGGTCGGTTGGTCCAGCCGGTCCATTGTACCAATAGGCCAGCTGGTCCAGCCGGTCCATTGGACCAACAGGCCAGTTGGTCCTGCCTGACCATTGTACCAATAGGCCAGTTGGTCCAGCTAGTCCATTAGGCCAACAGGCGAATTGGTCCAGCACGTCCATTGGACCAACAGGCCGGTTGGTCCAGCGGGTCCATAGGCCGGTTGGTCGAGCCGGTCCATTATACCAACAGGCCTGTTGGTCCAGCTGGTCCATTGGACCAGCAGGCCAGTTCGTCGAGTCGGTCTATTGGACCAACAGACCACTTGGTCCAGCCGGTCCATTGGACCAATAGGCCAGGTGGTCCAACCGGTCCAATGGACCAACATATCAGCTGGTCTAGCCTGTCAATTGGACCAAATGTTCAGGTGGTCCAACAGGCCGGTTGGTCCAGCCGAATCATTGTCCCAACAGGCCAGTTGGTCTTGCAGGTCCACTCGACCAACAGGCCAGTAAGACCAGCCGGTCCATTGGACCAACAGTCCAGTTGGTTCAGCCGGTCCATTGGACCAACAGGCCAGTTGGTCCAGTCGGTCTAGTCGATCAACCGGCCAGTTGGTCTTGCCGGTCGAGTGGATCAACGGTCTATTTGGTCCAGGTGGTCCATTGGACCAATAGGCCAGTTGGTCCAGCCGATCCATTGGACCAAGTTGGTCCAGCCGGTCCATTAGACCAACAGGCGAGTTGGTCAAGCCGGTCCGTAGGAATATGAGGCTGGTTGGTCCAGCCGGTCCATTGGACCAACAGGCTTGTTGGTCCAACCAGTCCATTGGACCAACAGGCCAGTTGGTCCAGCCGGTCTGCTGGACCAATAGGCCGGTTGGTCCAGCTGGTCCATTCGACCAACAGGTCGGTTGGTCAAGCTAGTCCATTGGACCAACAGGCTAGTTGGTCCAGCCTGTCCATTGGACCAACAGGCCAGTTGGTCCAGCCAGTCCATCGTACCAACAGGCCAGTTGGTCCATTCGGTCCATTGTACCAACAGGCCAGTTGGTCCAGCCTGCCCATTGGACCAACAAGCCGGTTGGTCCAGCTGGTCCACAGGCCAGTTGGTCCAGCCGGTCCATTGTACCAACAGGCCATGTCGTCCAGCCGGTCTATTAGACCAACAGGCCAGTTGGTAAGCTGGTCCATTGGACCAACAAGCCAGGTGGTCCAACTGGTCAATTGGACCAATAGTTTAGGTGGTCCAACTGGTCCATTGGACCAACAGGCCAGTTCGTCTAGCCTGTCCCTTGGATCAACAGACCAGTTGGTCCAAGCAGTCCATTGGACCAACAGGCTAGTTGGTCTAGCCTTTCCATAGGAACAACAGGCCAGTTGGTCCAACCGGTCCATTAGACCAACAAGGTAGTTGGTCCAGCTTGTCCAATGGACCAAGAGGTCAGTTGGTCCAGCCGGTCCACTGGACCAACAGGCTAGGTGGTCCAGCCGGTCACTTGGGCCAACAGACCAGCTGGTCCAACTTGTCCATTGGACCAACAGGCCAGTTGGTCCAGCTGGTCCATTGGACCAACTGGCCAGTTGGTCCAGCCGGTCCATTGGACCAACAGGCCAGTTGGTCCAACTGGTCCATTGGACCAACACGCCAGTTGGTCCAGCCGGTACATTGGACTGACAGACCGGTTGGTCCAGCCGGTCCATTGGACCATTAGGCCAGTTGGTCCAGCTTGTCCATTGGACCAACATGCCAGTTGGTCCAGCCGGTCCATTGTACCAACAGGCCAGTTGGTCCAGCCGGTCTTTTGAACGAACATGCCAGTTGGTCCAGCCGGTTCGTTGGACCAACAGGCCAGTTGGTCCAACCGGTGTATCGGACCAACTAGCCTGTTGGTCCAACCAGTCGATCGAACCAACAGGACAGTTGGTCCAACCTGTGCATTGGAGCAACAGGCCAGTTGGTCCAGCCGGTCCATTGGACCAAGAAGCCAGGTGGTCCTGGCAGTCCATTTGACCAACAGGTCTGGTGGACTAGCCGGTCAATTGGATCAACAGTTCAGGTGGTCCAACCGGTCCATTGCATAAACAGGCTAGGCGGTTCAGTCGGTCCATTTGACCAACAGTCGAGGTGGTCCAACCGGTCAATTAAACCAACAATCCAATTGGTTCAACCAATGCATTGGTCCAACAGGTCAGGTGGTCCAATCGGTCCATTAGACCAACAGGCAAGTTGGTCTAGTTCGTCCATAAGACCAAAAGGCCAGTTGGTTCATTTGGTTCATTGGACCAACAGGCCACTTGGTCCAGCCGGTCCATTGGACCAACAGGCTAGTTGGTCCAGCTGGTCCGTTGTATAACCGCATATGCACCTAATGCATATGCCATATCAGTAGGTTGAGGGTATAGGCAGGGCTCTAGGTTGCAACCATAGGAAGAATAGATGGATATCATAGTATAGAACAGAAATTGGTTGAAGGTGTAGAATGTAGCGAGGTGACTATTAAGAAGGGGTGTAGAAGGGGGGAAACAGGATAAGAGCGGTTGGGATAAAAAGGGGGAAAAGACACCGAAGGGCGAAATGTGAAACCAGTCAATCCCAAACCCGAGCCGCATATTTGGAAATGTACAGCCCGGGGTTGGTTAAGGGCACTCACGTCCAACCCCTCGATACTTTCGCGATTTTTTATTCTTTCGAACTAGTGAAAGTTGCTATCTTTGCTCTAGCACACTGAGGCACGTCACTAAGAGGGAACCTACGGAATGAGGGACCAAGATCTTTCATAATAATCACGAAAGAGGAAGCATCAAGGGCAGAGTAGAGATGGATAAGTACGAATTGCGTTGGGGTAGGATGTTCAGCCGACGGGAGGAGGAACGGCCGCGACGCGAGCCTTACGAGAACGAGGGCGGTCCTTGGAGCAATTGCCGCGCCGGCCGGCCTTCCGCGCGGATCGAATCCCTCTCGCACAAGACCGTCGAGAAGAAGGATCGCCGGGCTTGGGAGCAGATGACGCCGGGCACGTCGGAGGCGCGGATAGAGACGCGTGGCTGCGAGAGAGAGCGCGCGGAACTGGCGAGGATCGTGGAAACCGCCGCGAAGCAGGCGTGTTCTGCTCTCCGAACGATCGAGAACGGCGCCAGGATGAGAGAGGCCGTTGGCGAGGTTTCGGGGAACTTCCCTGGGGACGGGGAGGAGACGTAGGCGGCGATGACCGAGTGGGGATCTTGCAAGAGAATGCGGCACAGGAAGTGGCAGGGGGGCACTGTGCGGAAGAAGATGAGGACAACCTGGGGCTGCAGGTCGAGGAGGCCGATGAAGGAAATGACGGCGACGACCAGGCAGCGGGAGCGGGTGAGGCTGAACCCGCGCAGGCTGACGAGAGCGCTGGCGCAAGCCAGGCGGCAGCCGAAGAATCGGGGGCTGCGCTGCAAGAATCGCACCGCCGAGGCGTCAACTGTGGGGAAGAGTAGCGTGCAGAGGGCTCACTTCGCCAGGAGTGAGTGACACCAGAGGAGGGCGTTCGAGATGCACTGGCGCAGAGGCCGCGTGGCAAGGGGAAGGCGGAGCGGTCGTGCACGCAGGAGAAGGATCCGCACCATGGAGAATGGAGCGTAGGCGACTTCCGCCCGTATGATAGGCGACAGGAGCAGAGCGGCTGGAGCGGCGGCGGTGTGCATTCGCCAGAACAGCGGCGTGCGTGCGGTGGCAGATGGAAGGATGAGTCGCGCTCACATGAGCCGCACTGGCGCCAGGAAGGAAGGCACGGGGAGGAGCGGTGGTCACAGGAGCGCTGTGGTCAGCAGCACGGGGAACGCAGCAGCGTGGGGCGTTCGCCGGGTCGGCCGAGGCAGAGAGAGGAGAGGGATAGCAGCGGGTCCCGCTCGCCCGAGTGGCGCCGCCAGCGGAGGGAGAAATACGGAAGGGAAAGGCACTCGCCCGAGTGCCTCCAGCAGCGCAGTAGGAGGGAAGGCACCTGGTCACCGTCGCCAGAGAGGTGGCAGCAGCGTGACACCAGAAGGTGGGAAGGGCGGAGGATGCACGACCCGCCCACGCAGCAATGGAGACGTGCGGAAGAATGGGGAGGGCCAAGGGAAAGGCGCCGCGAGGCGGAAGGGAGTCGCCAAGAGAGCAGAGCGGAGGGCGGAAGCTTGGTGTACGGCGCGGAACGAGCACGGGAGGCCAGAGAAGGTCTGCAAAGGGCAAGCGAGAGAGGAGCGGAGAGACGTCGGCCAAGAGGAGCCAGTGAAACATGGGGAGAGGGGCGAAGGGGTGCTGCCAGCACCCCGCGAGTGGAAGTGCCCGCCAGGTTCTCGGGGGATCAGCGCGCGGGGAGTACCCTCAAGAATTACCTGATGCAGGTGGGGAATGTGCTGTACCGCTGCGACAGGCACGATATGGACCCGGTGGACTTTTTCTTGAGCTTACCGAACACATTGGAGGGAGAGGCCGAGACGTTGTACCGCATGAGGATGGAGGAACTGCTCTGGAGGGCAGGGAGGTACGGAGAAGACCCCACGGAGGCATTTCTGGAGCGGCTGCAGCGGCAATTCCCAGGGCACACGGCGGAGCGCATAAGGGAATTCCCGGAATTCAGGAGGGGCCGGGCGGAGTCACTGCTGACCTACTACAACAGATTGACTAACGTGGCGGAAGATGTGAGATGCACGGACAACAGCCTTCTCATCAGCAAGTTCCTAGGAGGCCTAGGCGAGGCTCTGGGGGGGGGGCTGAGGATGAGAGTGTATGAGCTGGGCGCGGAAGCAGGCCTAGAGGAGGTGTTTGATCTGGCAGAAACGGTGGAGCTTTCGCAGAGGAAGTACGAGGCTTATCTGCCCAGGCCGACCGAGAGAAGCAGGAGGCCAACGTGGGCAGCGGCGATGATACCAGAGGGGGGAGGGAGAGTAGATGGGCGAGGGGAGACAGGAATTGACACCAGAACTTGTCACAGGTGTGGGCAGTCAGGGCATCTACGCAGGGACTGCAAGAATTGTGACGGTTGTGGGAAGCCAGGGCATAGGAAGCGGGAATGCCCAGATGCAGCCAGGTGTGAGATTTGCAAGAAACGAGGGCACGAGGCAAAGGACTGCTACCAGAGAGAGGGAGGGCCTAAGAGGCACCCAGAGGAGCTGCAGCGGCAGATCAGCAGGCTGCAGGCGCAGCTGAAGGCAACAGGGTTGAGAGGGGAGGCCGAGGCAGGGATGTATGCCAGAGACGAGGAGGGGGAGGAGGTGGAGCAAGACGTGCAGTGTGCACTCATGGCATGGAGAGGAAGAGAAGAAATGGGGCTGAGGAGCGGATGGAAGGATGGCAGGCGGGAGCAGGGAAGGAAGGAACAAGCGAGGGGAGAGAAGTCAGCTGAGCTGGCCCAGGAACGAGCCCCAGCACGCCATCCCCAAGAAAGACTGGCGTGCCAGACCTCAGTGCTGCTGCTAGAAAGGGGAGCAATGGAAGTGGAGGGAGAGAAGGTGAAGACTGCAATCATAGACACAGGAGCAAAGAGTGTGTTGCTGGGGAGGGGGGTGGCTGAGCGGCTGGGGTTGCCGACGCCAGAGAGGCATGTGGCAAAGGGGATGCTGGTGATGACGGCGGAAGGGGGGGAACCAAAGTGGATGCCGTGCACCCGAACGCCCACAGAAGTGACGCTACTGCCGAGGGGGGAACAAGAGACCAAAATCCGCATGAAGTGTGGGATTTCAGAGTTGGAGGACTTTGATGTATTGGTGGGCACCGAGCTAGTGTTCGCGGTAGGGATGACCATATGCACTTGGACTGAGAAGGTCGAGTTTTGAACACGGTACTGGAAGAAGGAGGGGCCTTTGGGCGAGCTGCCAGTGCGATTTGTGAAGGTGGAGCCCAAGAGAGCATACCAGGCCGTGGGTGAACAGCTGCCAGGGGAGCAGCAAGCCGAGGAGCAAGGAGGGACAGCAGGGTCAGCAGAGGGACCCAGGATGAAGTGGATGGACGACCCAAGGCGGCGGAGTGACTGGCAGCAGCCCATCCACCTGGTGGAGCTATTTGGGGGGATAGGGGCAGGGCTGTCAGCTATGGTGAGGAGTGGAATAGCAGTGAAGAAGTGGACTTACATGGAGAAGGAGCCGAAAGTGAGGAGAATGGCGGAGCACCATGCGTGGCAGCTACAAGCGGAGTTCCTAGAACTCCTGAGTGGGAAGGTGATTCAAGAAGCCATGGGTAGGAGCATCCATGACGTGCGGGAGATAGCAGAGGCAGAGGTGGCGAGCTGGGGGCAGGTGGATCTGCTGGTGGCAGGGTGGGAATGCCAAGGAGTGTCTTGGGCAGGCAAAGGGAGGGGAGGAGAGGATCCTAGGACAAGGTTGATGGAAGACCTGTTCTGCATCATGGAGTGGCTGCAGGAGAGGCAGGGCAGGGTAGCATACTTGCTAGAAAACCTGGATCTAGAAGGAGGAAGCAGGGAGCCGATCCGATTAGTGAGAGAAAGAATCAAGGGGCAGCTGGGGGAAGGGGTGAGCTGTGATGCGGCCAGAACCGGGTCCTACGCACACCGGCTCAGGATGTATTGGCAGAATGTGTTCCCTGCCGTGAACTTGCAGGAAGAGATGAATGGGGTGCAGCGAGCAACGGAACGGAAGGTGCAAGACATTCTAGCACCAGGGCGGACCCCAGCAGCGGTGGGTCGCAAGAGCTACCACAGGCACTATCCTTTCAACCAAGTAGGGCAGGAGAGACGAGCCGTGCCCACCCTGGTGGCGTATGCGGGAGCGGCAGGGTACAAGCGGGAAGCAGGGCAGCCGGGGCCGGGCATGGTGTATGATCACAGGAGACGCAGATGGGAGGAACCCACGGCACTAGAGCGGGAGCTGGCTATGGGGTATAGGGAGAATGCAACAGCAGCCCGAGGGGTGAGTGAGGCGGACAGAAGGAGGGCTTTGGGGAATACAATGGATGGCCACACGCTGAGGTGGCTGATCCAGCGGATGTGGCGAGAGACGGTCGTGAGCCGGGGGCACGAGGAAGGGAAGGGAGAAGCAGAGGCAGTGCCTCGGGGAGCATGGAGCTGCCAGAAGGAGGAGGGAAAATGGGAGGTGGGAGAGGCGATGAGTAAGGAGGGGAAAGAGGCCATGCAGGAGCTGTTGGCCAGGCACAGGAAGTGCTTCGCCTTCACCATGCAAGAACTAGGGAGATGCAAGGTGAAGGAGATGGAGCTGAAGCTGAGCAGTACGGAACCAGTGTTTCACCGCAGGAGGAAGATGCCACACGGGGATGAGGAAATCTGTAAAGAGAAGATCAAGGAGCTGCTGGAAGCGGGACTGATTAGGAGGTCAGAATCAGAGTATGCCACACCAATGGTGGTAGCTGCCAGGCGGGACCTGACAAGGGAGGTGCTGAGCAGGAGGATGTGTGGGGACTACAGGGCACTCAACAAGATCACCATAGCGAACAGGTACCCGATGCACATGGCGGAAGAAATCTTTGACAAGCTAGCAGAGGGAGTGTTCTTCACGACACTGGACCTGAGGCAAGGGTTCAACCAGATCAATATCAGAGAGGAGGACATCAAGAAGACGGCCTTTCATGGGCCGGACGGGCTATATGAGTGGATGTACATGCCATTTGGGTTGAGGAACGCCTCCGCCGTGTTCCAGAGGGTCATGGACAGTGTGCTGCGGGGAGTGGAATGTGCGGCCTGCTACATTGATGATGTGGTGATTTTCAGCACAACAGAGCAGCAGCACCTGCAGGATGTGGAGAGGACACTGGCAGCAATAGAGGCGGCGGGACTCACCTGCCACCCGAAGAAGTGCAAATGGGGGGGAACAGACAGTGCAATACCTGGGTTACGAGGTGAAGGGGGGGCAGATAGGGATACAACAGGCCAAGGTAGAGGTCCTGGACAGGCTGAGGGAGCCTAAGGACAAGTCAGGAATGAGAGCGGTGTTGGGCTTCTTGAGCTACTATAGGCGGTTTGTGCCCAATTTCAGCAAGAGAGCGGCGGTACTGAATGGGCTACTGCGGGAAGACAAGGCGTGGGAGTGGGGAGAAGCACAGAAGGGGGCACTGCAGGACTTAATGACAGCAGTAGACAGCAACGGTGCTCAAGCTGCCCGCCGCCGATCACCCGTTCACGCTCTACACCGACTGGAGCAGCCAAGGGATGGGAGGGATACTCTGCCAGGAGGTGGAAGGAGAGGAGAAGGTGGTGGCATATGCGAGTAGGAGCTGTAACTCGGTGGAGGCACAGTACAGCTCCTACGTAGGGGAAGGATTGGCAGCTGTATGGGCTGTGGGGCACTTCATTGTGTACCTGTAGGGGAGGGAGTTCACCTTGGTGACAGATCACCAGCCCCTGACGTGGCTGATAACAACACCGGGCAGGAATGCACGGTGGGCAATGAAGCTGCATGAGTATGCCTTCAAAATCAAGCACAGGCCGGGAAAGACATTGTAGCATGTGGACGGTCTCTCTCGGAACCCCCCACTGCCAGAGCCCACGGTGACCCTGACACTGCTGGCAAGGCTGGTGGAGATGAATAAGGCCAAGGGACAGAAGGGGCCAGCAGATATTTGGGAAGATGAACCAGCCATGCGGTGGGTGAAAGGAGAGACAGGAGAGGACAAGGAGCTGACAGCGCGAGTGAGGGCAAGGGGACAGCACTACAGGTGGTACCAGCAGCAGTTGCAGGTACAGACAGAGGACGGATGGAAGCTGGTCCCGGTGCCAAACGAGAGGGAAGCAGTGATCAAGGAGGTACATACAAAGCTGGGACACTTTGGGCACGAGAGAACGGTGCAGCTGTTGAAGACAGGATGGTGGTGGGAAGGGATGCGGAAGCAAGTAAAGGGGTGGGTGGAAGGCTGTGAGGCATGCCAGAGGAGCAGGGCAAACCTCACCCAAGCCAAGGCTGAGTTGCAGTCTCTGCCCATCCGAGGCCTAGGGTTCAGATGGTCCTTGGATCTGGCGGGGGAGCTGCCGCTAAGCCGGGGGGGTAAGCAGTATATTGTGCTCATGGTGGAGCACGTGAGCAAGTGGCTGGAGGTGAGGGCTATTCCAAGCAAGAGCTCTAGGCATGTGGCAACAGCGTTCAAGGAACAGGTGATATGCAGATTCGGGGCATGTGCAGAGGTCCTCACAGACCAGGGAATCGAGTTCCAAGGGGAGTTCAAGAAGCTGTTGGAGGAGACAGGGATCACCCACAGGCGCACTTCGCGGTACCACCCACAGAGTGATGGGCTGACAGAGCGCCTGGTGCAGACCCTGAAGCGGGGACTGCGAG